AAAAGCATCCCTCTATTGGGTTCCTCCTCATTTTTCTTTTGTCTTCCAAGGCTGGACTCTAGAGTGATGGATTCAGGGTTTGCTTTCAGGTATTTTGATAGCTGTTGGAGTGGTTAGAATCAGTGTCAGTTCCCTCTCAAAGGCTTCTAGATAGGGGAGAAAATAAATGTATCCATCATTTTAGAACAAGAGCTGGTTGTCTCCTTAGTTACAGGTGGGCACTACAGTATTGGAGACCAAGATTTGAAATCTTGCATCTGAGCAGCACTTTCGGGTTAGGAACAAAATCACCAATGAGAAATGATTGTCTAAATAAATTTTTATATAGACTTAAGCCTAATGTCTAGGAAGTGTAATCCCTTGAACTCTTAAAGAAGTATGACTTCCTAAAGAAGATGACTTTACTCTTTGGTTATACTTTCCTTTTGGTTGTTAAATACCATACAGTTGGCCCAAATAAATCAGTTTATTTTTACACTTAAGGTCATTTGAGGATCTGTTCCTTGGGAGTCACATGGGCTTGGGAGGAGTTCCTGGCTCCTTTCTTTTACAAGTTCCATCTATGTGAAGATAAGTCAAAGGTCCTGCTCAACCATGTCTGGCTTCACTTGGAAGCATGAAAGAGATGTTTCTTCTGAGTTGACCCTTGTCTTTGTAGACTGGACACTGGTTCAAGTCTGTCTGGTGGGGCTTCCATGGCCTCCCTGAACAAGAGGACAGGTGACTCACCATAGTTACAGGACATTTTGATAGATGTTCCATAGTGTCCTGGAACTTAATCAACCTTGGAGGGCAAGGGGCAAAAACTGTTTTTAAGTCCCTCTGACCACATAGTATTGGCCTAAAACTATGGCAATTAAACATCCAATAAGGTTAGTTCCACCAGTCTGTAACTTTTAATTATCATGTACTGTGCAGATAAGGTTTGAGTACAAAACCAAATATTCTCAGATAAACCTTGACTAGCTATATAGTTTGTTCCTTAAACTAGTTGACTAAACTATGACCTTAGAAATATTAAGATTATCTGAATATTATTTTTGTCCCATCCTTTATATATCATAATAAGCCTACACAGACTCG